TCTGAGCACGTGCCCAGGGAATTCTGTTCTTGGAAACGGAGCTCAGGCCTCAGGAGGCAACTCCACCACCCCAGCTGAGCACTGGACACCCGCCAGGAGGCGGCCACCAGCCTGGAGAGACACCTGCGGCTGGGAAGTGTGTCCTCCAGAACTCTCAACTTGGGCACCTGCCTCCAAGTGGGGTGAGGAAGACAGGCAGGGCATGGACGTTCTGGGTCCAGCCTTCTTGTTGCTGTGACCTCGGCAAAGTCACTTGACCTGTCTGGCCCCCCTGAGTCACCTGGAGGCAGGATGGCGCCATCAGTAAAGCTGGAGGGAGAGACCCAGGGGGAGAGAGGACAGGCCCGCTAAGGAACACCAGGGCTCAAAACAAAAGAGCAGCAGCATGTGACCCGGGGCTGGGCAGGCCCCACACCTGCTGTGCACGGGAGCCCTGTAGTGTCCTGGGGTCCCCAGGCCCCCGCCCCTGCTCCACCTCTCACCTTCTCCCTACAGGCCCAGCTGGCACCCGATCCCTCCTACGCACGCAGTAGGTGCCCAAACAGCACTCAGGCTGCTAACTCTGCATATGACAGTCTATGTTCCCGTTGCTCCCCACATGGCAGGGAAGAACGGAGGCTGGGCTGGAGTGACCGGTTTGGGCCTGTTGTCTGGTTTGGTTTTTAATTCCCATTTATAAAACAAACCAACAAAACCAGCCCTACCACGGACAGCAACAGCCAAAAGCTTCCGCCCCTAGGGGCTACGGAGCATTTACAGGGAGTACCCAGGAAGGGCAATATCATTCCCCTCTCCCTAGAAAAGCTACACTTGTGCTTGTTGTTGTTGTTTTTTTTTTTTAAAGAAAAAAAAGAAAGAAAAAAGTTGTAAGAAAAAGAAACCTACTGAGAGTGTATGTTTTTAAGAGACCCAAACCCCACCACACTACGCTAACATCCACCGACATTCGGTCCACCCCCCCGATGCCCACCCGGTTACACATCTGTCACTCTAAGTGCCAGGCCCATGTGTCCCCCCTGCTAGGGGGTGGAGTTGCCAGGAAGCCCCTCCAACATGTCCCTGTAATCACTGCCTCCTCCTCTGGGAGTCCCAGTCCTGACCCTTGGGCCCTCCGTAGTCCCTGGTTGCACAGCCGGCTTCTCCTTAATTATGTAAAACCCTGGGGCCAATTTCCCTCCGTGCATCCCACCTCCAGATGGAGGCCCAGTGCTGTGCCCAAGAGACCAGGAGCCGGGAAGCAAGGGTTCTCATGTGCTGTGCCTTGGTGACGGGGCCGTGGGATCCAGAAACTGTGCCAGGAATCTAGGACAAAGAAACAGGCAGTATCTTCCTGCCCGTCCCACCACAGGGCAAGCCTGGGAGGACTTGAGGGGGCCGTGTGGTTCTCCTCTTGCATGCTGACTGTTAGTGAAGGTTGATGCCAGCAGAGTGGCTCGGGAAGGAAAACCACTGAAGAGAGCAAACACCAGAACACCACATCAACTTGACGGTGAGAACCCAGGGCAGCTCAGCCTTCTGCTGCAGCGCCGCGGGTGCCACAGGGTGAATAGTGCCAAGGCAAGGCCAGGCCAGAGAGCACACCTTGGGTGCAAGGCCGGGAGGAGCTCCCTCTGACAGCTCTGGCAAGAGGCTGTAAGCCTGGCTGCTTCCTCTACGATTCTACCTCCAGGAGGAACCTGGGAACCCCTTTGGGCTGGGGGGCCGACTAGCGCTGGAGGGCTGGGCCTCCTGCTGTGCTGGGGGAAGTCAGGGCAGTGAAGCTCTGCAGGTGAATGGCAGTGGCATGAGGGCATTTGGCCTGGCCTGCTGGGCAGCCACAGCTCCTGGCACCCTCGCAGGCCCATCCAGAAGCTCCAGAGGCAGCAGTCATGGTGCTGGGTGTGGAGGTCAGGACTGGGGGCCAACCTGCTCGAGAGGGCAGCGCCTGTGACACCAGAAACCCCAGGGGTTGAGGAAGGATGTACGAGGGTGGGAGCCAGAGCCAGAGGGAAAGGCCAGAGCCTGCCCGTGCCATCAGCCCTCCAGACCGGGGGCAGCACACTTCCTCTGCAATGGGCAGAAGGCAACTATCTTCCGTTCTGCAAGCCAGGTGGTCTCTGTAGCAACTCCCCAACTCCGCCTTTGCAGGCAAAAGCAGCCAGAAACAGCTTGTCAATGAATGGGCATGGCTGTGCGCCAATAAAACTTCATTTGCCAACGTGAAATCTGAGTTACATCTAAGTGGTGTCTTGCATACTCTTCTGGTGACTTTTTACCAATTCTTTTCTACCCAAAGATGAGGCTCAGGTTGCAGACCATACAAAGACAGCCTGCCAACTGGCCCACAGGGCCCCGGCTGCTGACCCTTGCTCTAGAAGGAGAAAGAACACGAATCCCTGAAATTCACAGAGGCTGGCCAAGTGCCAGAGATTGGCGTCTGCTGCGTCAGCACAGAGGTGGCACCACGGAAGAGGAACAAGGTGGCACCACAGTAGAGGGGCGGGGGGGGGGCGCAATTCCTGAGAGCCGGAGAAGGTGAAGAACCAGGCTGAAAGTCTCTAAAATCGGGAAAGTGGGAACACTCTCCCTGGGTTCTGAGGGAGGTATCGGAAGGAACTGGCCCAAGCACAGATGGGGGTGGGGAGCTCAGGCCGCACAGAAGCCCTTGCTTATTAGGAAGAGCATCCTGGAATCCTCCCCCAGCCGCACTCTCCATTCCCGCAGACACGGCCAAGGACCCAGCAGGTCCCTGAGAACCACTCGACCTCAACAATCTGCCTGCCCCTCCTCTGCCTGACACGCCTCGGCTGTCATCCGCCCGGCCAGGCGCCTTAGCTGCGTCTCCTGCCTGGACTAGTTACGGGGCAGCAGAGCTTGCAAGAGGCAGAAACCACTGCCCCGTCCACTGCCAAAAAGCCTGCGGGCCGCCAGCCAGGACTGCACGGACGGATGCCCCATGGCCAATGGCCACTCCCGGCTCACCCCCTCGCCTTCCCGCCACGGAGCCGGGGCAGCTGGGGTGGCTCTGCGAGGGAGCCCGGCACGGGGCCCGGCCACCCGCCTGAACCCCAGCTTGCGCGGAGCACTGCACGCCACTTGCTCAGTAATTTCACGCTACGCCGCCTGGCAATGTAAGCGTGGAGGCCCAATCTAAGGCAGCACTTCCCAAATGTCACTTGTTTGTGAACACATGGCTGAACCCAAAATTGCTTTTAATATCTGGGCAGTCCCCGCCGGCCCCAGTGCAGTTCCAGCACTGACAGCACCTCCAGGATGGGCCTGCAATCTTGTCCAGAGCTTACGACTCAATTGTGGCTCCTGCCACAGCCGGGGCTCTCACTGCACACCGGCCCCGTGAAATTGTCTCCCCATCCACGGTGCCCCAGGGTCACTTGAGCAAAGCCACACACTCCAGGACATTTCATCATTCCTTTTGATCAAAAGAAAAAATCCTGATGCTCCTACCTCTCCCCTTTCAGCGAAGCCCAGCGTCTCTGCCAAAGACAGGCCCCCTGATAAAAATCCGGAGAATCTTCCCTGCAAAGCCCATTTCCTTTTCTAAACTGCACTGACACAGTGAAGCTAGACAAGCGGGTAATTAGAAATATAAAGGAGAGCCAGTCCGTCTACACCCAAGCTGCCTGCCAGTAGCAGGACTCAAGCCACCTATGTAATCTTCAGTCCAGGCTCTGCGTTCAAAAAGTAAAAAGAAACAGACGGCATTCACTTTCGTTATATTTAACCCAATCTATCCAAAAACACGGTCTACATAACCAGCATGAACCGATTACTCGCGTGGTATTTCATGCCCTTTGTTACGCACTGAGCCTCGGACGTAGTGTGTGTCACGCTCACAGCTCAAGGCCACAACACCCACACATGGCCAGCGGCCTCCGTGCTGATCCCCAGGGCGTCACACCACTTCTGGGTCTGGTGAGAAACCCACCAACTGCCCGGGTCCTGAGCACTGACTCAGACCTGGCCAAGCGACTCCTCGGAGGAATCCTCAGGCCCCAGGGAGGGAGGCTGGCAGGAAGCACCCCGTTTTACACTACACTGGCCCTGCTGGACGGGGTTCTCCTGTTCCATGTGTCCCTGCACTGGAGAGATGTCTGTGAGTAACCGTCTGCAGCGAAGAGAGGCCGGAGGGACTGAAACCCTGGACCAGAGCCCGAGACCAGTCTGACGGGAGGAGCATGCGTCTTCTGCAAAGGCCAGGGCAGGAGCCCAGGGCCGCAGTGGCAGTCCTGGGAGGAAGGCCCTTGGTACGAGCTGCACACGGAGGGCTGGGCCTGTTCCCACCAACAGCCCTCCTCACTGCCTCCTCTCCCGGGCTCCATCTCCCCCTAACTAGGGGATCTGGAGTCACAAGGCCTGTGTACATCCCATCACCTGGACCCGCAAAGCCACCTCGGGCTCCAGGGGAAGCCAAGCCGAGTGGGTGGACACAACCCCATCCCTGCCCAGCAGCTCCCAGGGATCTGCCCATCAAAAGCTGTCAGTCAAAAGCACACAGACGGGTGAGCCAAGGAAATCTGGAAACAAGGGTTCAGTTCAGATGTCAAGTTTTTTGGCCAAACATCAGCCCTCTGAGAACAGGAACAGCAAATTCCCAGGAAAAGAATCAGAGGAGTCTCCTTGCCCCTCAACAATCTCCATGGACAGCCCAGACACCAGGAAGCCCTCAGGCCCAGAGAGCAGGGTCTGCCGGGGAAGGAAAGCCCCCCGCTGCTGGTCGCAGGCCCCAGGCTGCCACATGTCCACTCACTTGCCCCATGCCTCCTCCCTGCTCCTTCCAGGTGAGGAATGTTTGGGGTGAGTTCACTGAGGAGCCCAGAAATGGACCCAGGTGGAGACCAGGCCCGGGAGGCCAAATGGGCCCTGGGCCCAGGGAGGCTGAGAGGGGTCAAAACCCCCCCCCTTTTTTTTTAAGATTTTACTTGTTTATTCATGAGAGACACAGAGAGAGAAAGAGAGGCAGAGACATTTAGACCCTCTTTACAGGTTCTGCGGGCACTTACCTGAGTGGCCACTTTGCCATAATCAATCCACCGCAGAGTGGCGAAGTTGGTAGATTCGGCACAGTTGAACCCGTGATTGAAGCCGGCATGGTAGCCGTAGGGAAAGGTGATCATGAACTCCCCGGCCTCCTGTGTGATCTGAGGAGGAAAAGGCCGACAGGTGAGCAGGAGCCAACAGGTGAGGGGCAAGGCCCAGAGTCGGGGCGGCAGTTACTGCGCAGCTCACCTGCCAGAAGCCGTGCTGGCCCGGGGTAGACAGGCTGGTGGCAAGGGCCACCAGGAGCCACCAACAAGCATGGCAGGGCCAGGTGGGCTCAAGGATTTCCCACCAAGTGCCATGGAGCCCTGGCTTTGGGAGCCAGGCAAGCTCTGTCAGGTGGAAGGCAGCTCTGCCTAAGTCCCAGGGCTTCAGCCAATTCCCCACAGGCCTTTCCAGCAGGTATGGCCGTGGCCAGGATGAGAGCTGCTGCCCGCCCCAGGCGGGGCCCCAAGGTGACAGACACTCTAGACACACGGGACTATTGAATGTAAGGCCTCCAGGGACTCTCGGGAGAGAGGTGGCCGTGGCCCCCTTGCCGTCCACTGGGAGACGTTCTGACACGGCGCAGGGGCTGGGGAGGAGGCGCAGACAGCACGGGCAGCAGCTGCAGAGCCCCCCGAGCACAGGACGGGGTGTGCTCCAAGTACAGGGTTATGCCCTGTGAGGACAGGACGTTCCTGGGAAGCGACCTGAGCCCCCAGCTGTCGTAAGCCTGGGTCTGTCCCTTACATCCCAGGAGGTGGCTCCTTCCAAGCGAGGTCATAGAGGCCGGAGAAACAGCGTGTTAGAAGGACACAATGTCAAGATCAGAACTCTGTCAAACGCTGATGGTTCTAGACCTATTCAAATGGTGTGATCTGGCCTCAGAAACAGAGAGACCCAAACCAAGGAGCTGGGCCTGAGTGACAGGGGAGAGGGTCCACAATGAGCCCAGATGGAGGCTTCTGGAACCCCCACCCTAAGGCCTGCAGGAAAAGGTGGGGGTGCCGTCTACCCCCCACCCCCGGGTGGCACTGAGCCCATCACTCAAGCATCCTGGAAGACGTGGGAGCCGAAAGAAGGCTGACAAGTAACAGTCCCACTGTCCCCGAACACGCGAGGAGGGGCTGGAGGCCCGATCCACGGATGTGGAGACCGAGGCTGGTGGCAAGGGAGGGAGTCTCTCTGAAGTCCTTGACGGAACACTGGGTAGAACCCACAGGTTACGGGTTGTCAGGGGTTGGGAGTAACAGGAATGGACCGCCGTGGGCACAGCGCCAGGCCACCAGCAACCCCGACACTGTGAGACGCGCCTCTGTCACTACGTTCCTTTCTAGGGCTTCATGAAACGGCTTCACACGGACTGTGCTCCTGTGTCTGTCTCTGTCCCTTCTCGCTCATAAAGGGAATCCCGTTGTGCAGATGTGTTGCGAGGTACTTCCTCGTCCTGGCGACAGACCTTGGGCTGGCTCTGGAGTGGGGCTCCCACGAGTGGAGCTTCGGGAACACTGTGGGCCAGTCTTCGCGCACATGCGTGCTTGCATTCCCACGGGGTCCCAAGAACCTGCCGGGTGGTTTTCTGCAGTGGCCACCCATTGTGCACCTGGGGACCCCCCCAGCACTCTCCCCATCACTGGCATTCAGGGGTGTCCTTCCGGGCCGGCTGCGGTACCCCCCAAGGTTTACACATGCCCACGCCTTTTGCCCCCATTTATCAGGTTGTTCATCTTTCCACTGTAGCTTTGTAGGAGTTCTCAAGCTCGCTAATCTTTATTTCTTCCTCTAGAGAGATGAGTAGAAATTGCTGGATTCATTTAAGTAACCAACAAGAAGTCAAGCCCTGAGGGGGTGGGGGCGGGAGACGGGGGGGGGGGGGACTTCCAAAAGCCAACCACAGAGTCAAAAATCAATCAAAACTGACACAGCCTGGAGAAAAGCCAGTCCTTAAGAACACAAAGATATTTTTCTTTGCAAGTAATGAATTGCACCAATCAAGGGAAGTCAGCGTGCATTAAGTTATATTTTTAAATTCCTGTCCAAGTGACAGGCGTGTGGGGGATGAAGCCCATGCACGGTAGGAGGCGGGGGCAGGGAGAGAACCCTCAGTGTCCCCGAGGGCCCAGCAACCCCCGGCCACAGCAAGCATTCTCTGGGCTGGCTCCTGCCACAGGACTGTGTGAAATGGGTGACAGATAAAATTAACATTTAAGGATTTTTTTCTTTTAAAATGTAAATACTGATTTTTCTTATCCTTTCCGAGTGGACCATGGACAGCGTAGCATCATCTAGCTCTTGCACCAAGCCCACTGGCCTGCCCCCTCCCTCCTTCCATCAGGACGCAGGCAGGCAGGCGGCCTGGCATGAGCTGGGAGCCTCGCAGGCACGCTGTGGGGTCCCTGTGGGGCCTCGGGGCTGGGGTGTGGGGAGGTGCCTCCACCTGATTCAGGCAGATTGCAGGGCCTCCATTACCTGACAGCCCCTCCATAAACCAAGGCCTAGCACAGATGTGCTCCCTAAGGACGGCAAGATGATGCTCCTGTCACAAAACCTACACCCTGGCGGCTTCGTCTCGAGCCCACAGTGTCTGTCCTCCATGTCACTGCCGTCAACATTATCCCGACAATAAATTAGGTGGCACTTGGGATGATGGATAGGACGTGCGGCAAAGTAATAAGCAGTGAAGGGAACGCCAGCCCCGAATGCCAGTCATGGAGAAAGCCGGAATTCAGCAGCTTCCTCGAGCTCTCGCAGAATAAATGAGGAAGTCCGCGGCAGATTACAAAAATACACACTTTTAATTATTAAAAAGCTCTGCTATTGATCTGCTTTTTCTTCTAGAAGTAAATACCATTACAAAGATTTATAAATGGAGTGCGAGAGTCACTCCCCCCCAGGGCTGCCGGGAATTCAGATGAGGGGACCCACGCAGACCCTGATGGGGCATTCATCTGGAGCGGGCCGCTGCTCCCTGCTGGCCCAGCCTCGGCCTTCGGCCCGCAGGCCCCAGGGAACCGCTGATGGCCCGTGGACAGCCAGGGGCCGGGCTGCGGAGAGGGGACCACAGTCTCTGAGTGCCAGCTGCCCCAGGCCGGGGGCCACCGCCTTCAGGAGATCTGCAGGCATCTCGTGCACAAAGTGCGGTGCAGGCAGACAGTGATGCAGGAGAAAAGAGGGTGCCCCGCCAGCCGACTCCTCGGACTGGCATCTCTCCCCAGGAAGCACCGCCTTGGAGAACATTCTCCACAAACCACAGGAAAGCAAGTACTTCGCTTCTGTGAGCAATGCTGTGTCTGTCTGCACGGTTCCTGGTAACCAGCGTTGTTCAAATCATAAGATGAGGGGAGGGGAGGGAGGCACGGAAACCTGCATTTCTCAGAGCAGAACATCCCGCTATCTGATGGACGAGCCCGACAGAGAGTGAATCCCCGATCTGAGCACTAATGCTGTAGGCGATTTGATTGAAATGTCAGAAGCAATTTCCAACTCGCTGACACTCCCGGCAAGAGTGCAGCGTGAGGGTCTGATGGCAGAACTTGCTCCCGTGCCCAACAAATGCTCTTGTAGGGAGACCTTCGGGAACCGGATCCCCAGGAGGGTGCCTCACTCCTGGCCTGCCCCCACCCCCTGCCCCATACTCAGCCAAGAGTCTGCTCAGGCCTCCCCGGAAGGTTCTGGGCACATCCCCCCTCGTCTGGAGCACCCTGCAGACACAGGCCTAGACTTTCCTATCTAGGAGGCTTGTCTGCAGGGAAGGGACTGGCTGCAGTGGACACCTGCTGAGCCCCACCCTGGGCGCAGAGCCCCACCCCACCTTGGGCAGAGCCCCTGACGAAGGCCCAGGCCCGGGTGCTGGCCTTCCTCACCCCTACCCTGACTCCCCAAGCTTCAGGCCTCACTCATCACAGCCTTTCCCAGGGACAAGCAAAACGCTCCCTGGAGCAGCAAATTGAGTGAGTTCACAGTCTTCATGCTGGGGGAGAGCCAGATATTTCATTTCTAAACAAGTATTCATTCTTACAAAGGATGTCTGCAGTGGGCCATAGGGTGTGGCCGGGGGGCGGAGGGGCCCGCCCAGTTGTCCTGTGGCTTCCTGGGAAGTGGGCAGGAGCTGCCCCCACATGGCAACCCTGACCCTGCAAGACCAGGCAGGGGGGCAGCCAGCAGCCACACCAGGCAGGGGACTGAGTTTGAGTGGGGGTGGGAGGTAAGGCGAGACCCCCCCCCAACTCTCCCCTTTCCATCCTCACCCTCCAACCACAGCAGAGCTACAGGCTGACTACCCAGCCAATCTGCCTTCCCCTAGGTTGCCAGTATTCTAAAACCTTCTCTGGGCTTAAGAAGCCAGTTTCCTGGGACATTGGTGGTCCCCTCGGCCAGGGCACAATAGCCCCTACGTACCCGGCTGAACGGGATCCCATACTTCTTGAGGATGATGGGCGAGATGAGGGTCATCTTGTGCCGCAGGAAGGCATCACAGCCCTGGGAGCTCCCGGGGAAGAACCCTGGAGCAGAAAAGATGCACATCAGTCTGACGGGCCAGAGCTGAGCAGGTCTCTTTGGGGCAGCGTTTTCCCTCCCATCGAGGCACGGAGTATGGAAAGCCTATAGCTCCAAGGGAAGGAAAGGCACAGGACCCTGTCGCAAAGCCGTGTGGTCCGCTGGTGGCAGTGATGGCAGCCCTCAGACCTCCAGTTAGTGAATCCAGAGCCCAGGCCGGCCAGGGTCATCCGTGCAAGAAAATGCACCCTCGAAGTCACAGGTGGGGTGAAGGCCAGAGCACAGCTGCACAGACCTCCCCGCTGGGCACACCCCAGATAAAACCTGCTGCATTGCATGCGCCCAGTGGCAGTCAGGGAACAGGACATGGGAACAGATGCTGTCCAACCAGGGAGTCATGAGCAGTACCCCCACACAACCAAGTCTGAGACAAAGAGGAAGAAAGGGCCGCCTGCAGGCACGGGCTCTGCCCGGGTGTACCTGTGGGCCCCGCAGCAGGCAGGGAGATGGGGCCTCTGGCTTTCGACTGGCCCCCCGAGGCCCACGGATTGGTGGGAAAGGGCAGAGCGGCCTGACCCAGGGCTGCCCCTCTGCTGCACACAAGGTGGCTTGAGTTCCGGTTTGGGAATGCTTGCTTTCTCACGTATTGCCACGTAACTCACTTAAGGCGATGTTCTTAAACGTACAGAGGTCAGACCATCGCTCTACTTGCTCTAAAAAGTGTGCTTAAAGCAGTTCGGGGACATTTCCCGACCACCCATTGGCTGAAGCTCAAATCAATGACAGGTAGGTCTTGTAGATAAAGAAGAGCCCAGGGCAAAGGTGCTGGGCTCCTCACCCAGCGTCACCGAGGGGCGGCGAGGTATGGGATGGGCTACAGCAGTGGCTGGTTGTCCCAGGGTCCGACCCCCTGCAGGACTGCCCCCCAGGCACAGCCGACCTTCCCGGGAGCCGCCCCCAACCGTGGGTCCCCAGTCTCCAGGCCAGTGCACACCCCTGGCCAGTTAGAGGGCACACTCGTGTGTGTGCACGTGCTGTGTGTGAGCACAGGACCTCACTCACACACCTGCTGGTTGGGGAGGGTGGCTCCTAAGCCACAGTGTCAGGGGGTGGGGGTTGGGACGCCCGCCGGCAAGGACACGACTGTGAGGTTCTAGAAAGAGCGAGGGATTACTGAATCCAGCAACTTTCCTCAGTGCTAAAAGCGTTTCAATTAGAGTTATGGCCCCTGCCGCCCGGCCCGCGGCCTCTCTGCAGTCCCTCTTTTTAATGCACAGTTTAAGTGGCTCTCATTAAAGCTCTAATAAAGGCGCACATTTTAAGTGATTAGCACCAATAACGCGCCAACACATTAATGCTCTCTCCGTGGGCTCCACGACTCTCCCAGCGAGCCCATTTGGAGCTCGGCTATTCATTTTCCATATTCATCGCAAACTCATTCCATCCATCTCAATAATGGAATCTGTGACGCATGCCCCCAAAAAGAGTTTGGAAGGGACACGGAGGAGGGCAGTGACTCACTGCCCTAGAACCTCTCCTGTCCTCCCTCTGAGGAGGGGAACTCAGGCCTGTGCGAGAGGCACAGGGGAAGCCTGTGGTCAGCCCTCCAGCCCTCCAACCCTCCCCCAGGGCTGACGCCCCACCCCCCGTCTCCCCACCAAGGTGGGACTTCACGAGTCCACACTATTCACAAAGCAACGATGGGGTAGTTCCCACAGGCCTCTGGCTCCTGGCTCGTCCTCTCCCAGCCCTGGCCCCTGCACCTCCTGCATGTGCCCAGAGAGCAAACCAGGCCAGATCCCGAGGCAGCAGGGCCCCTGCCTGCAGGAAGGACCCAGGGAGCAGGCCCAGTTCCAGGGAGAGTGGCCATGGCCCTCAAAGACTCCAGTTCTAGCTTTTCTAGGGGGCACTTGGATCATTCAGAAGTTTCTTTCTGGGAGAAAAGATACAGAGGGGAAGAACATGCTGGGTGTGACTAACTGCAAAATCCAGGAGGGCGGGAGGAGCAGGGAATTAGGCAAAGACGGGTGACCCCAGCAGTGTGGTCACCAGAGCACCCCTGAACCACTCCATGGCGCTTTCTTCCATGGCTCTGTAGGTGTGGGAGGCTCAAGAGTGGCCCCCGAGAACCTGTATCTATGTTCCCTTCCATGCAGCAGGTGGGGTTAAGTGCAGGACCTCAGGATGGGGACCCCAGTGTCACCATGGGGTCTCCACAGGAGGGAGGCGGAGGGGAGGCCACGTGACCACAGACAGGGACACAGGCCGGAGCCCCTGCCCCTGGAAGTGGGAACAGGTGGGAGAGCCTGCCCTGGAGTTCAGCCCAGTTGAGACTCGTGTCGGACCCCTGACCTCCAACCCTCCAAACTCAAGGGAATGAGCCTACGGGTTAATTAGGGCTCTTTCAGAGCAGTTTCAGGCTCAGAGCAAAACTGTGCTGCTTAGAGCCACAGACTCTGTGGTGATTTGTTACAACAGCAACAGGAAAAGAAAACAAGACAGAGGGATATTTTTTAACTTCTCTTTTAAAATTAACAGTGGTTTTCTAAATTCCTATCTTAACAAAATACTTCGGAGAAACATTTTAATTTGGTTCTGATTTTAGATATTAATAAGTAAGAGAAATCGCTTCTTGCTAGGACCATAACTGGCATCTCTATGGGGAGAAGCTCCTGATGTGGGGTTCAGCCCTGCCCGCGAAGGCAGAGTCCGGGTTTCCAACATGGCAACACCTCCCCGGGGCTGGGGAAGCCTGGGCCTGGGGCTCTGGCCCCAGTCTGTGACAAGCCTCCCTCTGTCCTCGTCCTCGGGGAACCTGTGTGTAGCAGGCATTTGCTGAACAGCTGGGCCACGCCGACAGCAGCTAGGACAGGAGGCCCATTTTTCAGAGAGCTCCACCACTTCCATCTCCAAAGTCAAATCAGGCAGGGGAGGAGCGCAGTGGCCACTCCCTGGGGGAGGCACAAGGAAGGGACAAAGGACGGTGGCAGGACGTTAGGAAGGCTGCGCCAACGCTGAGTGATGCCTTCTGGAAGATTTCATGGCGATCAGGGGAAAGGATCAAGGTGATGAGATGGGCCCCTGCACTGTCCAGCGGCTGTCCGCCCACCCTGCCCGCCCCACCACTGCCTGCCAGTGAGGGCCAGACCCTCAGGCCAGCAGGGTCCTCTAGCACTGTCCCAGGCACTAAACGGCCATCTGATGTCAGAGCAGAGCGCAGGGCACTATGATGGGGAGCAATGTGGGAACCCCTCCTTGCCTCTCTGTCAGGGTGGCCAGGGGCCTCAGCGTCACCTAGATGGGTCTCTGGCTTGTCTGCAAGGATCCCACGTCCCGAGGGCCTGCCCTGACCCCAAGGGGGTCAAGCACCCCCTCTCCAGACACAGCCTGGGACCCTCTCTGACCGAGCCCATTGGCCCAAGAGGCCCCGGGGGGTGGTCTGCGGGGGGGAGCCCAGGGAGGCCGGCCCCACACACACAGGCAGACAGCTGTCCAGTCACCACGCAGCTGTGGGGCATTAGAGGGGGAGCCCCCCACAGGACCGCTCGCTTTCTAGACTAAACCCAGACCTTAAGACTTAGAGGAGAGCGAGACGCAATACCAGGCGCCGGGAGGGAGACAAAAGAACACGGCTGCCCTCCCGGGCCTGCGGGAGCCCGCAGTCACGTCTGGCAGCTCCGTGCTAACAAATTGGAAAATAGAGTTTAAAGCAATGGCATTCTGTGCGTCGTGCACGATGCGATAAACCCCGGGGCGGGGGCACCATGATCTGATCACAGGAGGGAGAGGAGACGGAAAATCAGACGGTGACGCCTCTGGCATGCCACCAAGCCAGGGATGAGGGAGACCCAGGACCATCCAGCTGCCCCCCCCGCCCCCCCAACCCCCCCCCCCCCGCCGCCTGCCCCAGCCCAGGTCCCAGCCAGGGGGGCGCACCTACCGATGGCCAGCCGCTCCAGGCGCTTGCCGTGCTCCGGCGGGATGGCGTACCTACGAGAGAAGGGGGCACGTCAGATGCCACATCAGTCGTGCGGCCATTGCACCCGGAGGGGGCCCTGGGGCTGCGGCCTCGGAGTGGGAGTGAAGTGCAGGCGGGGTCGGCGCTGGGAGCAGGGTGGGTGTCAGGGGAGGGCGTCAGGGGGAGAAGGCCGCAGTCCTGGGCCTCCACAGGCCGCCCTGGCCGCCCCTGATCAGTGGCACCAAACCTGCACAAGGCTTAAGAGGCAAAACTCCAAAAAGCACTGGATGGGAGCTGCGGGGCGGGAGGGGAGACAGGAAGGCCCCCAGCCCCCCCGTGGCTGCCTCCCTGTCTCCTGCTCCCCCAGGCCCAGGAGCCACCTGGGAAGAAGCCTTAGGAATGAGAATCACCTCATTTGTCACCACTCCCTAAGTTTTATTTTAACACATTTTACATTTGAAAGATTCCTGAGGCTCTGTCATAAATAAGGAAGATGTAACTTTAAAGTTTGCAAACAGATGAAGCCAGAGTGACATCCTCACTAATGCTGTGTGCAGAAGCTGGCCTGCTGCGATGCGGGGACTCTCTCCCCAGTGGGGACAGCCCAGGCAGGGGTGCCGAGGAGCCGCAGCCCAGCTGGCAGGCCACCCCGGACTTGACAGGGTGAAAACCTCCATGTCCAAGGCAGGCAGGTGGAACCGGTGTATGGTTCTTAATGCCACCAAGCACTGAGCGCAGGTCCGTCCGTCTGTCTCAAGGAGGAAGGGGCACAGTAGGGGCTCCGTCTACACAACTACTACACCACACCTGAGTCCTGTCCGGGAGAAATTCCAGGGCTACAGTTCTCGCCCAGAGGTGATCCTGCCCCAGGGGACACAGGGCCATGACTGGGGACATCTGTGGTTGTCAAGACTGCAGGATGAGGTGCCCCTGGCATGGAGGGGGCGGGGCCGGGGATGCTGCTCAGCTCTCACAGCGCCCAGGCCAGCCCCGCAGATGGTGACCCTCCCCATGTCCATGGTGCCAAGGGGAGAGACCCTGCGTCAGCACACCTCACGTTCTAGAATGAGTCAGATGCGGGGACACATGGCGTGGAGCACCCTCCTGCTCCTTCACAGTGCGGGAGGCAGGATGGCAACAGCCCAGGACGTGGAAACCGGCCCGGATTCTGCAGCTGGCTCAGCCCATTCCAATCGAGAGGGTTATTATTGCTTTTTAATAAAATAAAAGGGGGCAGGGGCAGGAGATAAGGCTGTCTCTAATCTAACAGGATGAAAATAATTAATTTCTGGGCACATCACAGGGCCCTGGAGGAGATGGCACGGCACCTTCAATTCTGTTGTCACCGGAGAATTTTCCACTGTCTGGACAAAGATGAGGTGACTCTTCTTTAAACAGCCCTTTATCACTTACATAAAGACGATAAAGTTAATCCCAATCCCAAGCACCTTTGTGGGATTAACATCCCCCCAAACAAGGAAATGAAACATTCCGGTCCTTCTGGGAAGATGCCGGAGGATGGGAGGAACTAATTTATGGCTCTAAGGCTGTGATGATTAATGCAATATCCCCAGCCTACAATGCTGCTTTCACTTAATTACCGCCTGTAATTGGGAGTTGTAAAGATAAGATTAATTGAATCTGGTGGATGTTAAAAGTTTAATACATTGGAACGTGGCTCCTCTGTTATCGGAAAGTACAGACTGCAGGACGCTGGGCTGAGCGCTCAGAAGAGCAGCCCCTGGAGGGATTACAGAGGACGGTGGACGGGAAGCCGACAGCCACGGGGACTTCTGGGCTCCCACCACTCGGAACAAGCTGGCGACAGCCTCAGGGTGCCGAGAAGCCCCCACGCCAGCGGTGTGCTCCCCCCTACCCCGGGGGCTCAGCAAGATGCAAACCTCAGATTTCAAGGGGGGGGCACCTTACAACACACAGCTCTGAGCGAGCTCGGGGCTGTCTGCCCCAAGGAGGGGCGGTCAGTGAAGGCTCCGTCTGTACGTCTATTAAACCATGCGGGGCCCTTCTGACGGCTGGGAGGAACTCCAGCCCTCTGGGCTGTAGGTTCCCTCGGAGCCCTCTCTCCACACCACGGCCGGCCAGGTGCCCTGGGAGGCCCTCCGCTATGCGGGCCCAGGTGAGCTGGCTACAGAGCTAGCCTCCCAACAGGGACAGACCTTTGACCCTGGAGAGAAGTCCCCCCAGGCCCCGTGGGGCCGCCACAGCAGAGCCCTGCCACCCTCGTCACAGCCCCGTCCGGCATCACGCCACCTGGTGGGGGCATCCCTGACTCTCGGGCCTGGCTCTGGGAGGGAAGGAGGACATGCAGCCATCTGGGCCATGTTTGTTCACCAACCCCCAAGGCAGGAGCATCTGTCCAGCCATTATCGAGCAAATTCTTGGGGCCATAAAACAGAGTTGGTTTTATTGGTCACCAACATGGGGGCAATTTGTCTTGCTCCCCAGGACCTCCATCCCCATTAAAAGGTCAAACATGACGGCCAAAATCAATCCACCTGGCTGACCTGCAAACCCTCTGGACGTGCAGCCCCAGTCGCCCAGTGGCAAAGGGTTCTTGCACGGTTTCCTCAGACAGACAGCCTCCCCAGCTGCTCTGGTCCAGTCCATTCTGGGTGGCTGGTAGGTGGCTGGCAGGTGGCCTGCCCCTGGCCCCTGGCCCTGCTCAGAACCTCCCCTGGCTCCCCTAGTCCCTCTCTAGGCCAGCGTGAGGAAACCCCTACAGCAAGGCTGGCATCCCCTCACGTGCTGCTGCACATCAGCCCTGATGCCATCTCCTTAGTCCAACAGTCCAATACCTCCTACAGGGCTGGCCACGACCCACCCCGAGGTGGCACCAGCCAACATGCTCAACCCCCAGGCCTGAGCTGCATCTGGCCGGCCCTCCTGGGTGGGCAACTCATTCCGGGCCTGCAGAGGGGCCCAGAGGGTATGAGGCCCAGCAGGGTCCTTGCTCCTGGCAGCTGCAGTGAGTGTGTCTGAGGGAAGCATCGGCCACAACTCGGACACACAGTGAGTCCCAGTCCTTTGGTGGGCCAGGCAGGAGTCCAGAACTTTCTCCACAGTATTTCGCTCAGGGTCTTTATTTCTGTATTTCACCAGCCCATCCTCCTCTGCACATTCTCACCACTTCTGAACGTTTTACCCAAAGTACTTCCGGGCAATGCTAAACCAGAAAGTCCTGAAAAAGTCGGAATGGTATCCCTGGCAACCACTCCAGGTGCCCCTGCAGAGGCTGCAGCAGGACTCGACAGGCTCCATAAGTCCAGGTTTAATGCTGTGGAATTGCCGAAAAAGCCGAGAGAGACAGATTCAGGCACCATTTGCCAGAAGCCCTTTTCGGAGAGGCAGTTGTCTGCAAACGTCAGGGGCTTCAGTGAGAAAATAAAATTTTTAGATCAGGAATAGGGCACATGGGAGGCAAGAGGAGAGACCAGAGCCCCAGGAACCAGGCCGTCGCAGGTGAGCAGACATGATGTACATGGCACAGCGGTTGAAAGACCACCACTGTCCAGCGGTTTCACAGTTCAAACGACCAACCGACAGGAGAAACACACTTCAGGCGTGCTGGTGAACTGCCACACCCACATCCAGACACCGAATTCCAGACGGAAGCGACGCCCAGGTCTGGGGAGGGACCAGATAGGTCCCAGGTAGGTGGGCAGCCCCCAGCTTCACTGTTTCCCGCTCCTTCTTTTACACCTCGAGGTACTTGCAGTGGAGGCGCCCCCTCCAATACGGCCACCCCGAGAAGGCAAAGCTCAAACCCGCGAAGCCGCCCACAAGGCTGGGTCCAGACAGTGCGCAGTCACCTAAGCCCCGGGGCCTGACGCACAGGTGAGTCTTTCCTGCCTATGAGCGGCCAGGAGCACACGGTGCAGCCTGGACGCTAGAGAGGTACGTCATCCGACCGGCCCTGTGCTCCTGTTCCAAGGCTGAGTCTAAGCTGGGGGCAGAGCCGTCTCGGGGACACGAACGGCTCCAGACGTCAGGAGGCTTCTGTCCACATAGGTCACAACAGGCCTGGTGGGCCTAATAAAGACACTCCAGGGCTTGTGACACCGGGCAGGTGGCAGGTGCATAGGTGGCCGGAGGCCTTAGCCTGGCAGCCAGGCAGCTCTCGGGGCCAGACGGGGCTGGACAATTAAAAGGAAATGTGTCCTCTGCGGGCAGGGCTGCTTGCTGGCCAGGGACAGGACGCTTCCATTTTACTGACTCGCCAGCCCGGGAAAGTCTTCCTGTCCGCCGTGGAGGATGCTATTAATAGTGTCATTTTCTTGGTGTTTTGTTTATTCCCCTGGAATGGCTTGATGGATGTGAATAATTATCAGACTATAAAAGCCAGCAAATGTGCTATTTTCTATCGCTCTAAATCATCAAACAAATAAAGTGTGAAACAGCATTTTTGAATATAATTTTCCCCTCTAATGGCTTAGAATTATTATCAAGAACAATGAAAATAAATAAGCAAATGCCTTGTGAGTTAAAAATTAAATGAGTGTGTCACGAAGAGGAACACAGACCATCTTGGAGAGCAGGGACCTGCTCAGGAGCCATTAGTTACAATGACGGTGAGCAGCAGGGCTTGGGGCATGCAGGCCCCCTCCAGCCAGAGGCGTGGGCGCCAGGGCCACCTGGCCAGGTGGGTGGCAGGATGCCTTGGATGAAGGCATGGGAGCATGGCACCTGCGCGCCCAGCCGACCCCCACCCCTCATGCCCCACCCCATGTGAACAGCCACACGTAACTTTGAAAGGCAGGTAGGAGGCTGGTCTCTGCCTCGCCTCTCCTGGGCTGTGGACTGGTGACACCAGAGGGATTGCTGCTTCTCAAACCACCAAGCAAACCCACGCTCTTGGGGCAAAGGACGAGCAACGTGAAACTCCAGTGGAAGTAATCCCACCCACCCCACAGAGCCCAGGGGCTGTGCCGGCCGCCAGCCCTCATCTCCTTGAACTGCTGGCTGCCCCAGGCTACAGGGCCCTTGCCAGGCGGCCAGCATTTCTATGGTATGG